GATGAAATAACTTAAATATTTCAAAATACCTTGTAATATTTTTGAATGGTTTTAATAAAGAAATGATAAACTAACTTTAATATTTTAAATTACCTAGTAATATTTTGAATGGCTTTTATATAGAATGGATAAACTAACTTTTATATTTCAAATAGCATGTAATATTTTGAATGGTTTTAATATAGAATGAATAAACTAACTTTAATATTTTAAAATAGATTGTAATATTTTTGAGTGGTTTTAATATAGAAAGAAACGAACTTTAATATTTCAAAATAGGAGAGAGGATAATCTAAATTTAATATAGCTAGTAAGGAAGTAATATTTTTGAATAATTTTAAAATAGAAAGGATAACTAACTTAAATATTTCAAAATAGAGAGTAATATTTTTGAATGGTTTTAATATAGAAAGGATAAACTAACTTTAATATTTTAAAATAGCTTGTAATATTTTTCAATGGTTTTAATATACAAAGGATAAAATAACTTAAATATTTCAAAATAGTATGTAATATTTTAGAATGCTTTCAATATAGAAAGGATAAACTAACTTTAATATTTTAAAATAGGAGGTAATATTTTTGAATGGTTTTAATATACAAAGGATAAAATAACTTAAATATTTCAAAATAGGATGTAATATTTTAGAATGCTTTCAATATAGAGAGGATAATCTAACTTTAATATTTCAAAATAGCTCGTAATATTTTTGAATGGTTTTAATATAGAAAGGATAAACTAAATTTAATATTTCAAAATAGAGAGTAATATTTATAAATTATTTTAATATAGAAAGGATAATCTAACTTTAATGTTTTAAAATAGCTTGTAATATTTTTGTATGGTTTTAATATAGAAAGGATAAACTAACTTTAATATTTCAAAATAGATAGTAATATTTTTCAATAGTTTTAATATTAAAAGGATAAATTAACTTTAATATTTCAAATAGCAAGTAATATTTTTAAATGGTTTTAATATAGAAAGGATAAACTAACTTTAATATTTCAAAATAGATAGTAATATTTTTCAATAGTTTTAATATTAAAAGGATAAATTAACTTTAATATTTTAAAATAGCTCGTAATATTTTTGAATGTTTTAATAAAAAAAAGGATATATAAACTAACTTAAATATTTCAAAATAGCAAGTAATATTTTTGAAAGGTTTTAATATACAAAGGATAAAATAACTTTAATATTTCAAAATAGCTCGTAATATTTTAGAATGCTTTCCATATTGAGAGGATAATCTAACTTTAATATTTCAAAATAGAATGTAATATTTTTGAGTGATTTTAATGATAAACTAACTTTAATATTTCAAATAGAGAGTAATATTTTTGAGTGGTTTTAATATAGAAAGGATAACTAACTTTAATTTTTCAAAATAGCTTGTAATAAATATTTTTGAATGGTTTTAAAATAGAAAGGATAACTAACTTAAATATTTCAAAATAGTAGGTAATATTTTTGAATGGTTTTAAAAAAGAAAGTATAAACTAACTTTAATATTTTAAAATAGGAGGTAATATTTTTGAATGGTTTCAATATAGAAAGGATAAACTAACTTTAATATTTCAAAATAGCCCGTAAAATTTTTGAATGGTTTTAATATAGAAAGGATAAACTAACTTTAATATTTTAAAATAGATTGTAATATTTTTGAATGGTTTTAATATAGAAAGGATAAACTAACTTTAATATTTCAAAATAGATAGTAATATTTTTGAATGGTTTTAATATAGAAAGGATAAACTAACTTTTATATTTTAAAATAGCTTGTAATATTTTTCAATGGTTTTAATATACAAAGGATAAAATAACTTTAATATTTCAAAATAGCTCGTAATATTTTAGAATGCTTTCAATATAGAAAGGATAAACTAACTTTAATATTTCAAAATAGAAAGTAATATTTTTGAATGGTTTTAATATAGAAAGGATAAACTAACTTTAATATTTCAAAATAGAAAGTAATAAATATTTTTGAATGGTTTTAAAATAGAAAGGATAACTAACTTAAATATTTCAAAATAATAGGTAATATTTTTGAATGGTTTTAAAAAAGAAAGTATAAACTAACTTTAATATTTCAAAATAGGAGGTAATATTTTTGAATGGTTTCAATATAGAAAGGATAAACTAACTTTAATATTTCAAAATAGCCCGTAATATTTTTGAATGGTTTTAATATAGAAAGGATAATCTAACTTTAATATTTCAAAATAGCCCGTAATATTTTTGAATGGTTTTAATATAGAAAGGATAATCTAACTTTAATATTTCAAAATAGAGAGTAATATTTTTGAATGGTTTTAATATACAAAGGATAAACTAACTTTAATATTACAAAATAGGAGGTAATATTTTTGAATGGTTTCAATATAGAAAGGATAAACTAACTTTAATATTTTAAAATAGATAGTAATATTTTTGAATGGTTTTAATATAGAAAGGATAAACTAACTTTAATACTTCAAAATAGATAGTAATATTTTTGAATGGTTTTAATATAGAAAGGATAAACTAACTTTAATATTTTAAAATAGATTGTAATATTTTTGAATGGTTTTAATATAGAAAGGATAAACTAACTTTAATATTTCAAAATAGAGAGTAATATTTTTGAATGGTTTTAATATAGAAAGGATAAACTAACTTTAATATTTCAAAATAGAGAGTAATATTTTTGAATGGTTTTAATATAGAAAGGATAAACTAACTTTAATATTTTAAAATAGATTGTAATATTTTTGAATGGTTTTAATATAGAAAGGATAAATTAAAATTAATATTTCAAAATAGAGAGTAATATTTTTGAATGGTTTTAATATAGAAAGGATAAACTAACTTTAATATTTCAAAATAGAAAGTAATATTTTTGAATGGTTTTAATATAGAAAGGATAAACTAACTTTAATATTTTTCTAAATAGGATGTAATATTTTAGAATGCTTTTAAAAAAGAAAGGATAAACTAACTTTAACATTTCAAAATAGCTTGTAATAAATATTTTTGAATCGAATAGTCGAAAATATAGAAAATAAAAAGAATGAACTAACTTTAATATTTAACAATAGAGAGTAATCAATATTTTTGAATTGTTTAAGATAGAAAAAATGAACCAACTTTAATATTTCAAATTAGAAAGTAATAAATATTTTTGAAACGCTTAATATAGAAGAATAAACTACTTTATTAATTCAAAATAGGATGTAATATTTTTGAATAGTTTAAGATAGAAAGAAATCATGTACTAACTTAAATATTCAAAATAGAATGTAATATTTTATATTGTTTAAAATAGAAATAATAAACTAATTTTAATATTTTAAAATAGAGAGTAAAATTTTTGAATCGTTTAAGATAAGTAGAAAGTATGAGTTAACTTTTATACTTGAAAATAGGATGTAATATTTTTGAATTATTTAAGATAAAAATAATGAACTAACTTACTTTAATTTTTAAAAATAGTTTGTAATATTTTTGTATGATTTTAGATAGAAAGAGTGAAATAAATTTATTATTTCAAAAAGTGAGTAATAAAAATTTTTGAATCGCTCAAGATAGATTGAAAGAATAAACGAATTAACTTTATTATTTCAAAATAGGAGGTAATATTTTTGAATCGTTTAAAAAAGAAAAAAATAACGAACTAACTTTAATATTAAAAATAGGATGTAATATTATTTTCGAGCTGTTTAAAATAAATAGAAAGAATGAACTAACTTTAATATTTCAAAATAGCCAGTAATATTTTTGAATCAATCAAGATATATTGAAATAGTGAACTAACTTTAATATTTCAAAATAGGATGTAATATTGTTTAATAGTTCGAAATAAAAAGAATGAATTAACTTTAATATTTTAAAATTAGGAGGTAATATTTTTGGACTGTTCAAGATAGAAAAAAATAACTTTAATATTTCAATATATATAGAAAGTAATAAATATCTTTGAATCATTTAAAATAGATAGAAATAATGAAATAACTTAAAATTTAAAAATAGAGAGTAATAAACATTTTTGAATGTTTAAGATAAAAAGAATGAATATACTAACTTTAATTTTTCAAAATAGGATGTAATATTTTTGAATTGTTTAATTAGATATAAAGAATGAACTAATTAATATTTCAAAATAGAAAGTAATACATATCTTTGAATCATTTAAGATAGATAGAAAGAAGGAATTAACTTTATTATTTTAAAATAGATTGTAAAATGTTTGAATGGTTAAAGATAGAAAGAATGAATTTACTTTAATATTTCAAAATAGAAAGTAAAATTTTTGTATCGTTTAAGATTTAAAGAAACAATCAACTAACTTTAATATTTCAATATAGTGAGTAATAAATAGTTTTAGATCATTTAAGAAAGAAAGAATGAACTAACTTTAATATTTCAAAATAGCTCGTAATATTTTTTAATGCTTTAAGACAGAGAGAATGAACTAAATTTTTTATTTCAAAATAGATTGTAATAAATATTTTTTAACTGCTTAAGATAGAAAGAATAAACTAAATAATATTTAAAAATAGCATGTAATGTTTTTAAATCTTTATGGTAGAAACAATGAACTAACTTTAATCTTTCAAAATAGAATGTAATATTTTTGAACTGTTTAAGATATTAAACAAAATAACTATTATATTTAAATATAGGATGTAATTAATTAATATATTTGAATTGTTTCAGAAATTAAGAAATAATAAACTAAAATTTAATATTTCAAAATAGCATGTAAAATTTTTGAATAATTTAAAATAGATATAAAGAATTAACTAACTTTAATATTTAAATATAGCAAGTAATATTTTAGAATAGTTTAAAATATATAGATAGATAGAATGAACTAACTTTAATTTTTCAAAATAGTGAGTAATAAATGTCATTTGATGGTATAAGATAGAAAGAAAATTTAATATTTCAAAATAGCATGTAAAATTTTTGAATCGTTTAATATAAAAGGAAATAACTAACTAACTTTTTTTATTATTTTTAAATAGGAAGTAATATTTTTGAATAGTTTAAAATAGAAATAGTAAATTAACTTTAATATTTCAAAACAGAAAGTAATAAATATTTTGAAATAAAGAAGTAATTTTGATATTTAAAAATAGGATGTAATACTTTTGAATCTTTTGTTTAAAATATAAATAATAATTTAAATTTCAAAATAGGGAGTAATAATTTTGAATTACTTAAGATATAAAAAAATAATCAACTAACCTTAATATTTCTAAAAAGAGAGTAATAAATATTATTGAATCGAGTATAATAATTTAAAGAATTATTTAATTTTTATATTTCAAAATAGAGAGTAAATAAATATATTTGAATCTTTTAAGAAAGAAAGAAAGAAAGAATGAACAAAATTTAATATTTCAAATAGATAGTAATTCATGTTTTTGAATAGTTTAAGATAGAAAGTATTAATGAACTATTTTGAATATTTCAAAATAGCAAGTATTAAATATTTTTGGATGGTTTAAGATAGAAAGAAACAATAAACAAACTTTATAATTTTAAAATAGGACGTAATATTCTAGAATATTTTAAGATATAATGAAAATATATATTAACAAACTTTCATATTTCAAATAGGATGTAATATTTTAAATCATTTAAGATAGAAAGAATTAACTAAATTTAATATTTCAAAATAGACTTCAATAAGTAATTTATATTTTTTAATCGCTTAAGATAGACAAAATGAACAATTTAATATTTCAAAATAGCGAGTAATATATTTTTTTGAATCATTTAAGATAAACTGAAATAATTAACAATAGGAGGTAATATTTTTTAATTGTTTGTTTTAAGATATAATGAATTAACTTTAACATTTCAAAAATAGGAAGTAATAAATATTTTTGAATCATTTAAGGTATAAAGAAACAAAGAACTAACTTTAATATTTCAAAATAGATAATAGTAAATATTT